AAGGACAACTGCGGAGAACCAAGATTATGAGAACTAGAATAGGAGAACGTTTCGCAATAAAATGTGCTGAAGCACAAAAAAGATTTATATCCTCACATGACCAGCTCTGGAAAAATATATTTTGGAGAACTGCGTTTGAATCCTTAAATGACTAGCTCTAAAAAATATATATTGCAGAAGTTTGTAGAGCTACGCATCGTGGAAGAAACCATTCCAGAAGTATTCAAAAAACTAATTTCCAGTGAATTATTTCCCAAGAAATGTTTCGACTGTTGCATAAAAAATTCTCCTCACATTGCAGTCAGAGAATAAAAATATTTTTTTTTTCATCAGTCAATCGCACTAACGCAACGAAACAATAGCAATCAAGAAAATGTATCAATAAATAATAATTACTCCCTCGCAGCTATAAATTATGCGGTTGCATTTTCAGTGTTTCGTCGGATTTTATCGGTTAGAATATGGACTCAAAGTATTGTATTTACAGGATTCATTACCTGTCATGACTCAGCGTCGCATAAAAACTTTCGATAAGAAGTTAAGTCCTTAAATTTGCACGAGAGCATAGGAAAGGCGCAATTTGATGTGGATTACCAAATGAATTGATGAAAACAACTTACAGTATATACAAGCAGTTGTAATTTAATGCTAATTGCTACATGATGCTAATTGCTCAGTCTACATGATAAAAATTGCTCAAAAATCTTCTCACGTTAAATTTGACCTAACAATGAAATTATTTACTATGAAATTAAGAATAAATGAAGAGATTGAAGCCTCCGGACGAGCCTTAAAATGAGTGCAGGTATTAATCGTGATAATGATAAATTATACCTGAATTATCTCGCTAATTTGTAGCAAAATTTTATTCACATTTCCTCCATATTGCGTCATAATTTATCTCAGGAAAACGAGACACGAGATTAATTCAGATTAATTAGGGTGCCTTCACTCTAAATCCATACAATTAGATTTCAGTTCAGTTTAGTTCCATCCTGCAGCTAAAGAGAGTGAACAATATGCAGCTTGTTCATGTAAGTGGATCAATGTCACTAGATACGGGATCTTGGAACGAGTACAAGAATACCCTCTAAGGTCTCAATAAGTAGTAACGCTAAAATAGTTCTCAAGTAATAGAAGTAGTAACAATATAATTGTCCTAAAGTAATAGTTCAAGTAATAGTGTTACTAATTGTTTCTGTAGTAACACTAAAATAGTTATGTTGAAGCAAGTTCTCAAGTAATAGTAGTACTAACAACAAAATAGTTATGTAGAAGTAAGTTCTCAGGTAATAGTAGAAATAACAACAAAATAGTTATGTAGAATTAATAATTTTACTCTTACTGTAGTAACACTAACATATTTATGTAGAAGTAAGTTCTCCAGTAATAGTAGAAGTAACAAGAAAATAGTTATGTAGAAGTAAGTTCTTAAGTAATAGTAGGAATAACAACAAAATAGTTATGTAGAATTAATAGTGTTACTGTTACTGTAGTAACACTAATAAACATAGTTATGTAGAAGTAAGTTCTCAAGTAATAATATAAGTAACAAGAAAATAGTTCTCAGTACTCACCACCTGACCAACGTGCGCCACCTTGTCAATTTTGGGCTTCGGTCGCTGGTTTGCGTAGAGTCCCTTCGCTGCGTTAGCGTCCTGGAAACTGAACTGAACACGTAAAAAAAGATATTAGTCTTGGACAGTTTTCTTCAGAACAAATCTGTTCGTTTTTACTTTATAAAAGTATCGCCCCAAAATACAATCAAGCAAGTAAAAATCTAGACACACGACATATTCTATGCCTCTCAAATTTCCTTGCAAAACCACCGTAAATCTGGAATAAAAATTCACCGAGTAGAAATACACACGTAAACAATATTAATGTTAACTGCTGAAAGAATGAGGCAAGATACAAGCAGGAGGTGCTCAAGCAATTAAGCAAAATCAACTCTTCAATCACCTCTAATGTTCTTAAACTTGAAGTTAACAGCTTCTTATTCCTTGTTTCCCAAGAATCGGGCGTAAAATTTACGAAAATTCATGAAATGATGTAAATCGTCTAAATAAATAATAGAAACGAGTTTTTTGTGAGCAAGAAATAGAAGAAATTATATTCTTGACGTTGCGATGAGCAAATTGTTTGGAAGCAAATCGATCCGAACCAATCAATAAGTAAAATAATATTTTAAAGTGATTATGTTTAATAATTTAAGCAGATTTCATTCGTAGTCACTTGATATAAAGATAAGAGTGCGATTAGAAGCAGTTTTTCAATTTAGTTCTAGAAAAAATGTCTGAAAAATTCGAAGAGAGAATTCAAATGAGAAAACATAAAGATCCTTTATCTTGTACGGTAAATTCCAGTAAAAAAAGCCATAGGGATACTATTGCGGGATACTATTAGTGTATATTATTAGTATCATTTCCTAAGGAATACCATTAATGGATACTTTCAGTGCCATTTCTCAAGTAACACTATTAAGGTTCACCATACCTTGTGCTTGACGCCATCAGATGTGACGTTGCTGAGCGACGGGCTGTGTCTGCCAGGGAGCCTCGTGCGGTAGCGCGACAAGTCAGACTCCGATGCTTCTTCATAACAGATCATGTCAATAAACAGCCGAGTCTCAGAAATTAAAAGTATCTAAGTTAATAACAAATAAATGTACCAAAATATTTTCAAACGATATAACTACCTACATTACAAAAAATACCTCGTTCGATCAAAAATGCATGGAGTTGAAATGTTCAACTTTTGGTTTGAAAGTTTCAAACGTTTATTTGCGATATGAATTTGTCGACGCAAATTTTAATTCTTAGTATTAAAATCCACAAGGGCTGCGATATTCTCTATAAAAATACTAAAACGAACTTTTCACTCGCAAAGTCCCTCAGTAAATTATTGTGAGTTCAAAGCTTTCGGCGAAAATTTGTGAAGCGGTATAACTTCCTGATATGGAGGAATGTATTATTGACGAAATTTGAAAAAAATTGACAATGCGAACTACATCGGCGCAATCTGCAAGACGCAAACTAGAAACTTCATTTATTTTTTAAATCAATAAAATTTTCCGGAAAAGTATAAATTGAGTGAAGCAAAATAAAAATGTAATTATTGCAATATTTGACGGAGGATATTAACGTACGACAATAAAAAAAAATTAAAGACAGATTAACTGGAGTAAAAAATAAGACAACAAACTAAAATTTGTTATTTAAAAACGTAAATTAGCATGGTAATCTAAAAGGATCAACTAATAACAACGTAACTAATAAATAAAAAAAAAATAGTCCTACCAAATACAGCAAGAAAAAGAAAATTTCACGGGGCACCAATGAGGTCAAGGCAGAAGCCCAGAACTATTATGATCGTGGGGGAAAAATCCGGAAAGTAAAATTACAAAATTCTTCGAGCTAATGCCTAAAAAACCCGTTCCACTTTGTTCCATCCCAATAGCAGCGGATGGTGTTTGAACGCGCATATTTCCATATCCCTATTGACCACAGAAAATAAAAGTTAACCTTATTCAGGCTCCAAAGCCAAAAGGCTAAAAAAAGGTTTGCTTTAATCGTAATTTGACAGAAAAAAGAAGCAACGAGGATACAATCGGACATCGGAGGAATAATTTGGGGGTGAAGGCCGCCAAGAGAGTAGTAATGGACTGCGTCTGGTCTAAATACATCACACTTTTTCGACCCGACGCACTTAATTGTTCTAAAAATTTCCGCTGGTTTGTACGAGACTTGTCCCAAAAATTGTTCTGTGGTAAGATAAAATAACAATAAAAGAGAATTTAGCTCTCGCGCTGAACTGAGCCCATATGCAGACTCATTGTACACAATTTGCTGTAATGAATCACTAAACAGTTAAATTCGGGCGCTTTCAGGAATTGCTGAGCTTCGCGTGAACAATTCTTGTACTGTGAACGTGAAGCTTTACATGACTGCAATAACTGCATTTTTTCTAACGAAGGACGACCATACGCTTTATAAATGTCACATTTGAGATTTTCATGCCTAAAAATGTTAAATTTTTCCGAAAATAAATTTTTGAAAAATCAGTAGCAGGATTAACACAGAAGTTCGGAGATTGAAATAAACAATTTCAAATAAACAAACAATAAAAATGCAGACTAAAATAAACAATTTTTTAAATAAAAAATCTCCCGAAATATTACCCACACCACGAAAAATTATGCAGTAAAGCATGCTTGTATGCACAAGCACTGCATTCTTGATGTTAAATTCATGCAAGTAGGAAGAATGAAGGGAGGAAAATGGCAAATTTCAATATACCGGAACCTAAATGTTACTCTCACCTTCCAGGAGGCACAACCTTTGCTATAGAGCAGCTTTAGAGTAAACCATAAATCCGGACGGATGTAGATGCTTATTTTTAACCATATACTTTCTTGTTCTCTTGGTTTTACCCAATGAGTGGATGAAAGATTGTAAATTATTATAACTTATAGACAGAAAATTGTGATCTAAATTGCATTTTATCAATAATTAAGACAACTACAATCTCCCTAATTTTGAGGTAAAACGTATCTACTCGCAATAAGCTTGGTTTTCGTTAGTCGACTCGTGAATAGCAGCAGCATTATGTGTGTCCGTTTCCTGAAGATGAGCGCAACGAACAATTACAATGGAAAGTTCAATGGAAGGCAACGTCGAAAGCAATGTCTTTATTGGAAGAAAAATGTACCTGTGAATGACAGAACATTGAATGTATCCATTACCAACGGTGGAGCTATCAGAAAGAAATGCAGTTCATATTCGTTGCCTATATTTAGAAATTGAGTGAATATGCCTTAGAGAGAAGAGAGTGCAATACTCTCCAAAAAGAGTATTTTCGAAAGGAAGTCAGTATTCTCGTGAACGAATGAGTATGCTTGAGAATGTAGCAAAATTACCTTTTGAGTATGGGTGAACTGATAATTCATTACCTGTGATGTAGGTGATCAAGTATCGTAGGTAATTAAGCATGGTAGGTGTTTATTTGTCGTACGTTTCATTACCTGTGATGTAGGTGATTAAGTATCGTAGGTCATTAAGTATGGTAGGTGATTATTTGTCGAACGTTTCATTACCTGTGATGTAGGTGAATAAGTTTCGTAGGTGATTAAGTATCGTAAGTGATTGAGTCTCGTAGGTGATTAAATCTTATGGGTGATTGAGTCTCATAGGTGATTAAGTCTCGTGGGGGATTAAGTATCGTAGGTGATTAAGTATCACAAGTGATTATGTCTCGTAGGTGATCAAGTCTCGTAGGTGTTTCATTACCTGTGACGTCGGTATTGTAGCTACGACTTTCGTCGTCACTGAGAGGATCACAGTTGGCCAGGGAGTCCATATGAGGCACTGTAGAGGATACATAGACATGCAAACAATCATTTCGCTAATACATTCAACGGCAACATCCATTAAGAAAAGACAGAATAAAAGACTCATTCAAGTTAAAAGTTATCATGCTATTCTGGGTATGCAAATAGAAATCAAAGCTTAAGTACTTTTTTTTAAATTAATAACCCCCCCCCAAAAAAATCAAGTTGGATATTACCCACTGTAATATAAGAAAAACACGTAAAAAATTCAAACGTTGACAAAATAATCGAAAAAACACGTATATAGATTATGGACAATTTGCATAACGAAATACAGTTAGAGAACAATGAGATAAATGTACATCAAAGAAAAAATTTCATCCACAACAGCTAACATTAAGGAGCGAACCAGACGATAAAACCATTAAAACCATTTATTTTACGTGAAAACAAATTCGATCAGGCAAAAACAAACATTTCTACAGTAAATGAAGAGGTTAAGCTTAATTAATTAATTAATTGAGCAGAGTATCCATGATTTACGTCGATATTTAAAGGGAGTTTTTGCTACATTCAACGATATGAAGCAATTTAGAATTTAGAGAAGAAAACGTCGATGAATTTACATCACACAAGAGTGTGGTCGACGACATTAAAAGCCATGCTATGTAAGCAGAAAAACTTGATGAGCACTTTTCTTTTAATTTGCATTCACTCAAGGAATTGCGAGCGAAATCGCTCAAACTTCTTAAGAATTCCCTTTCGATACTCCATAAAAGGACGTACTAAACTCGGAAATGACTGCCGACGAGTTCTTTGCATCTGCGAGTAAAAATATTAACTTTGTAAGATAATGTAATGCAGCTCAACGTCCCTTTCAAGCCATTATTTTAACAATCTAAGAAACTTGATCAAAATAGAACGATTTTCAATCATAAAGTTTACTTTTCCACCCACGTGGCGCTTGGCTCTACTCGATCATCCATGATAAACATACGATTATTCCCGATTTACGTGACTAATATTCAATATTTGACTCAGTGATAACACAGTTTATACAGCTTTCCCGATCACTTGTATTTTGTTAAATTACTCAACAAATTTTGATAAATTGGCACAGTGATAACACAGTGTATACAGCTTTCCCGAACAGTCATATTTTGTCAAATAACTTGAAAATTTTGTCAAATTGACCACGTAAAGTGCTATACTTCAGAGATTTGAATACACGAAGTTCCTCGAAATGCCGGGCATCAGGTTTGTATTTTCACTAACGACTAAGGGCTCTGAAATAGGCCGTTTAATTACAATTGCAATTAAAATAGCTAAACAGAAACGTGAAACCAACTGGAAATTGAGTGCTGATTACGATTAGAGTTCAGTTAAAGCAAGGATCACGTGCTTGGGAAATCATGATTGCTAAAAATTTGTGCATGCATGATACAATAAAACTATTTTGAAAATTTACTGGGCGTTTTCCGTCGGAACAATTATGACTCGGAAGTTTTGCCCACAACTTCACTGTAGACAAAAATTCACGAGAGAAATACTATAACTGAGCCATGCTAAGCATGATTTATTTCTGAGACAAATTAGGTTTCTTCACTTTTCCTTTTCATAAGCTGCTGTTGTGATTTGGGTTCTCATATCAAAATCGTCTTGAATCTGCAGTTCAGATCGAACAAGCAATATGAACTGTTCAACGACTTTCTAAGACGCAAAGCTGTTGACAACTTTTACAGAACTCGAGACTGAACAAAAACCTAAAAAAATAAACAGTACAAAATCAGTTTTTAAAACTCGTCCTCGTTAATCTCAAAAGTGGGAAAGAACTTTGATCTAAGCCTGAACTGTTTAAAAACTTTTAATGAACTAGAAACTCGCAACTATACAAAACATTAAGTCAATTATAAACTCTTCAGAAAATCGTAACAAACGCAACGCAGATTTAAAACTAGCATAGAGCTCGAAACTGTGTCAAATATTCTACAAAATATTTAATTGTCAAAAAGTTTTCAACAAAGAACTTGCTGCGGATTTAGTTGATTTGTGCACGAGTGATTTAAACGCAGATCTTAACTGAATACTTGAGCAGTCAGGACTTGTTTTATGATGTATAACTCATAGACGCTTAATAAGTAATAATAGGGTAATAACCATCGAATTCACACTATTGCGTCTAAACTAAAAAAATTACTCGACAGATAAATGTAAAAGTAATTATATTAAATTATTTGAGAAAAGTACTTCTCCATCTACGTAGGTAAGGAAATTTTTTCCCAAAAAATACAGGTTGCTACTTTAGTCAACAGAAGAAATTTGATGACTAAATTGAAATAAAAGGTGACTTGAAGAATGTGACAATGCCAGATAACTGTAATAAACTCGTTTGAAGCTACACTAAGTAGCTTCTTCATACTTTTCGCATGACGAATTAATCGTAGCTTCAACCAAATCAACGCATTACAACGAATAAAAAACAACAATTGAAAACTCTAAATTGAAATAAGTGATGATTTGAACATCGCTAGAATAAGTACGTAAAGTCTATTCGCTTCATACTAAATGACTTCATAAGAAAGCCACAAGAAAAAATGTCCCAACAAACGTATTCAATGTTGGAACCAGCAAGCGGTCAAATACGAAGCTCTATTTCAACAATAACAAATGAATGGCATGAAATACAAGCCAGAAATATAAGAAGAGTACGTACGACTGTCAAGGGACACAGTGTCAGCGCCTTGCGGTGACACGGCAGGACTGAACTCGCCTGATCACCGAACGAGAAGTAATTTATTTTTAACGAGAACGAGAAGTAATTTTTTATTACGGCTCGCACTGGTAATTGAAGCTCAAAGTCTACCTAGCCTAACTCCATCAAAAAGTCATTTTAGGTCATTTACTTCATTACTTTAATTTCGTAATTTATTAAAACGATCTTTACTTTATTGAACCCGTCATAATAGAAAGATACAATAGAAATACGGAATAATAAATAGAAGAAATGGGAATAAAAATATCGGTTAACGTTCCTCGGATCACAGGGGATTCTGTTGATCGATGATATACTTACTAATTTGATCACATTTCAAATAAATAAACAATATTAACTTAAAAACACGTTCAGTAATAACTCTGATAAATATACTTCAAACTAACGACACATTTCAATATTATTATTATTATTATTATTATTTATGATAATATTTATGAATCGGTTATTTTAGTGCTGATATAGTAATCAATATTGTAATGAGAAAGAACTTAAATAAAAAATATAACTCAGTACTCACTGCAGTAAGTTACAGAGAGCGCATTTTTTCGTCCACGAAAACGTGAAGTCACGGACAGACGAACAGACAGACGGACGGACGGACGGACGGACATGACAAGCACAATAGCGTATTTTTTCTTAAATGAGAAAATGCGCTAAAAACGTGGAAAGGCCCGTTTACACGAGGGGTAACACACGGGCGTCAAGCGCCTCACCGCCCCTCTGTGCAGCGCCTACGTGCGCTTCAGGTGGGCAACGAAGCGTTTAAGGACGGCTTGCAGCCCATGGCCCATACTTACAAAAAAGTTATGAGATCGTAAGTTCATCAGCCAATCATTGACGGCCTTTCAAGCAAAATCCACCAATCATAAACAATAAAATAGAGAATAAGTAGTTAAGTTCACTTAGCAAGTTTTGAAGGTATGGCCTCAGGGAACTGACCAAAGAACTTCCAAACAGCACCAATTTACAGCCTAATGTTGATAGTCATAGAATTAAAAAATTCTGGAAGGAATAACTTTACCTACTGCAATCTGATAACTTTACCTAATGCACTTAAATTTATTTCGAATTGATATTCAACTTTGACATACCATGTAACCATTTCACGTGAAAACATTTTTTCCGGGAGCAAAACTATGTGTGTTGCATTCGAATTCACAGTACCTACAGCTGTCTCCTTATGAAACAAATTCGACATATTGAGTTTATAACTGAGTAATTCAAAAATCATGTCAGCGGTGAAATTTTGGGCTGTATTCAAAATATAGATGTATGTATATTCATTTTTTACCTATTTCCTTTCTTTTGTCATGCTCCTGACTGGACTTGCTAAAAATTCCAGGTGCCTATATAGGAGGCCTACAGCCGCTACGGCAGTCAGAAAAGACGTTCGGTCAACTAACATGGTTCATTTGTGAACGGAATACTCGCAGCTGCAATTATTAATTGATTGTTTACAATTCCTTTCAAGTAAATTTAATTGCAAATTTATAAGTAATGTATTTAAAACCAGTACACTACTTGTAGCCATTATAACACGATACCGAATTCTTGTAATCGATTTTATACCCATATAGTATCGAGAAATGTAATAACTTCTTCACACAGTGGGTTGTCCAGTCGTCAGTTGGAGTTTATACAACTTATTTTTCTAACACTAAACGGTTTAAAATGTACAAGTTTCATTAAATTTTCATTTCATTTCACCACTTGATGTGTCACAATAACAAAACATATACAGCATTCGTTCTATCGTTACTATAATTTTTAGTCAATAAAAATGTCATAGATCTCTCAAGGTTAATACATTAACATTATTGCATGCCATACAAGATCAATGCAAACCAAATCACAAAAGATGATCCAAACCAACCAAATCACACTGAAACCAACGGCATACAAGATTAACACGTTCACTTTAACCCAACCACAACACTTGGGAAGAGACTTGGTTGTGGTTGCTGCGGTGTCACTATGAGAGTTTAGAAAAAACAACAGGTTGGATAGAATATAAAAAAAGTAGAAATGGAAAAACAGTAGGAGATTATAATATGCCCATAGAGCAAAGCTATAAGTTGATAGTATATGTATGGGTTTGGTTAGAGTTTGGAGAGAGGAGAGAGGGAACCTGACAAGGTTTTGTAAGGTTTTATGGAGGAGTAATGGGAAGGAAACCATGATACACAATGAGGAACCATCAACTTAACAACAAACTCTTGAAAAACACTCACTATTGAGCAGAGTGTCGCCCTTGTGCGGTAGGTTGACTCTGTTGTGGCTGATAGCGTCCAGGGAGGTCGCTGGTCTCATCTGCACTTGTCCGCCGCACTCGCTCGGCTCAGCGAACGATCCCAGCTGAGGGCGACAAATTATTGTTGTCAGAGTGTAGAGAATTTTAGAGAGAAAATTTTAAATGAGGATTATTACGGATTCCAAGTTTTCATATGGAAAAAAATCGTATAAATAGAATAGTATGAAATTAAATGGAACTGCGATGAAATTACCAAGGGTACGGGAAAAATTGAGGCTAAAATGATTATTGTTATGGATTTTTAAATAGTTCAGAAAAAATTTAAGCCTCGTATTAATATTTGAGGAATACCGAGAAATTTAGAATAAAACTCACATAATAATCTTCAAAGAAGATCGCTCATAAATTTCAAATGTACAATTGGAAGACACTAATGAAAAACCAATATAAAATCAGCACGGTCTGTAAGTTAGGTAGGTCCTACAGCATTAGCTAGGTCCATTCGAAACTATTTATTGCCAGAATAGGGGACTAATATCACTACTTCACCAGTACACACAAATTTTGTATCAATACTTTATTTCCAATTCAAGTGTAAGACCTACGTAATTCTCTAAATGCACACCAGATCAAAATTAGTATCCTTGAACGAGGAATTTTATGCCGAATTGGACAGGCAATAATCGGGTTAACAACACTGCAAACCAACCTAAGAAATGAAAAATACATCTACGGAAAAAATTTATTCGATCTTAGAGGTGAGCCATCAAAAATGGATACAAATGAATTTTCAAAAACTAGAATATTTCTGGAAAGAATCAATAACAAGAAGTCGAAATAATGCAAAAAAGATGCAGCCCCAATTCAACGAGCCTCTTCCTCTTCGATTAAGTTAAAATCAAAGCAGAGCGAAAAGGTAGTTAACTTGAATGACCGAGCTTGATATAAATTATTTATCCGCAATGAAAATACTGATCGCCAAGAATACAGTTGTATGATAGAAGAGCATTACGATCCACTTAACAAATAATTTTGTGCGAAGTACTTAAAATAAATACACTATGTAAGGCCTAGGAGTTTGACTCGAGAAATATTTAATAACAGACTGAGAATATATTGCTCTCTTGACTGGCTTAATAATATCTAATATCGAATTAGCAGATCCTGAAATCAAGAGCAACTCTTCAAAACGATAATTATTCATTTTGATAAAGATTGTTGGACAATTTTCCAAATTTAAACAACAGACTGGAAAATGTGAATCGCAAACCCATTTTGTAATTGTAGATCGCGGCAGGAAAAATCAATCAGCAACGGTGCTATTGTTTTTAGTAGATGACCTCAACGATGCGTGATTAATTTGAAATTTAATTCCGAGCGAGCAGCATGGCAATAAAAGAGGCAAACAAATGAATATTGCAGCATATTTGGGTTGCTAGAAGTAAAAGGCGAACATTCATTTGGGATTTGATGAAATTATATATTGTGGGTAATTTTTTAGCTTGAATAAACTATGTATTGAAATTGGCCTCCTTCATAAATCCATCACAAGTTCAGCAGAAAAGTACATACAGAGTGAGAATTGATAAAAATCCTTCGTAGATATATTTTTTCTTTTCTACTTGTATGCTAATATTTGTACGAAACTATAAGTAAGCACTTCAACAAATCTGCCGTTATCAACACTTTCGTTCCGTCAAACACGAATGAAGAAACTTTAATTCGAGTTCTAAGCTGAAAATGAATTGTACCAACATTTCTTTATTTGTAGATCATCTCCCGAACGTATTTTCTAGAGCCCAAATGTTTCTTGTAGCCTAAATAATTGATGTGGTATCACCGTCGGCATTAATTTACCAGCATATCTATCGTGAACCCAACAACGAACCCAGAAGCTCAGTTAATATTCTACGTACGATAATGACCAGGGGCCATACTTTCAAAACTGGCTAAGTGAATGTAAGTACTTACGCTCTAATTTCTTGCCTATGATTGGTGGATTTTGCTTGAAAGGCAGTCAATGATTGGCTGACGAACTTACGATGTCTTAACTTTTTTTGGGAGTATAGGCCCAGGAGCCATACTTTCAAAACTCGCTAAGTTAACGTAAGTACTTACGCTCTATTTTCTTGTCTATGATTGGTGGCTTTTGCTTGAAAGGACGTCAATGATTGGCTGATGAACTTACGATCTCTTAACTTTTTTGAAAGTATAGGCCCAGACTTTGTCAGAGCCAACGCCTCAGTAGACTTGCATTTCTTTAGATGTTACCAGAACGTCGGGTCTTTTCAATCAATCAGGTTGAACGTTTGAAGGCAATTTAGAAGCGGAAATGGTTGGCCAGCTGCAGCCATTAGTTGATGGTCCCTTGAGCGTGACCTTCGACGCTCCCTCACCGCAGTCAAATGAAGGAAACTAATGCAGGTCTAACAAAGATAATGGAAAAATGGAGCAGGTCTGACACCGATAATGGAGAAATGGTGCAGGTCTGACGCAGATAATATAGAAATGGTGCTGGCCTAAAAAAAATAATGGAGAAATGGTGCAGGTCTGACAAAGATAATGGAAAATTGGTGCAGGTCTGACACCGATAATGGAGAAATAGTGCCGGTCTGACACAGGCAATAAAAAAACGCCGGTTTGTCACAGATAATTGAAAATTGGCGCCGCTCTGACATAGTAAATCGAAAAAATGACGCAGGTCTGCCGTAGATGATAGAAAAATGGAACCGGTTTGGCACAGACAATAAAAAAATAGAGCCGGTCTGCCACCGATAGTAAAAAAATGATGCCGGTCTGAAGAAACCAAAAACAAAATGGCGCAGGTCTGCCGCAGATAATGGAAAAATGGTACCGGTTTGCCGTAGGTGTTATAAAAAATGTTCTTCACTCGATAGAAAAATGATGCTGCTCTATCGCAATAACAAAACTGATACCGGTGTACCGCAGATAAAATAAATTATATCTGGCGTAGAAAAAAGGCAGCGGCTACTGAAGGCAGCATCCGAAAATATCTTTTCTGCTGATGATGAAACATTTGGTGATCCTGCAGATAAAAATTCATTTCCAGTCAAAGCTGCCGCAAGTGTTCGAAATACGAGTCCAGACCTACAATTAATAATACAAAAGTTATGAACGTTTGCCATCATCAATACTAGCGATAAATGCAAGTTATTCAGAACTGCTTTTTCCACAGTTTGACTTATGGTTTGTTAAAATCTATTTTTCATAATTTGCAACAATTCTAAACATTTTACACCCAAGTGTTTGAATTCTTCGGTATAAAATTAGATAAATTCAAGTAAACACTCAAAATTTATTCAACTTTTAATGGGAAATTAAACTTATTCTAGCAATTCCGGAAATAAAGGTTTCTTGAGGTTCGACTATACTAACATTCCACTTCATAATCCGTGAAATTAGTCAATATCGTTGCTCACCATCGTCAGTCCCCGTTCTTTTCATTTGCCCTCTTGCTACGCGAAACTTTTTGCTCACCCTTGGTCCCGAGCCCCGTGAGCAGGTCGTCGCTAGCGAGTCCTTTCTCTGTGATGCGCTGGAATCCTTTCGTCTCCAGATTGGAAGGGAAGCTTTTCGGATTTCCTGAGCGAGTCCAACTCTATTGGTTGCCAGGGAATCCTGCAGGGTCTGAACACAGCAGAGGGGCCAATTAAATCATGTTAATAATGTCTTTGCAGTGAAGTTCATAACAGAGATGAAACATACGCCAATACTTAACACGAAACAATATAAATTCAATAGTTACAATTAATTAAATAATTGATCACAGTCGGGAAGGCTTTACTATCGAAAAGAATCGTCGAGGAATCACAAAGGCCTCGCTTAATTAGGTTTGAAGAAAAATCAGCGAAAAAATTATTCTTCATTACCATTAACCACATAGTTAATGAAGACGAAATGACAATAAGAAAATATAAAATTTCCCGTAACTAGAACTATAAGCGTACGTTTCAATCAATTTTATACTTTGGCCGTGCAAACACGAGAACTGCAAACACGATTTTCATAAATAATACGAAAAATGGGACGGAATGGTTTTGTCATATTATAGTGACAGAACATGACAGAGGTCGAGTAATTTAAAAATTACACGAAAAATAGACAGCCTCTCGATGCAGTTTCAAACTATTTCAACAACGCGTCCGGACAAATATTTGACCTTGAGATGGTGTATTTGTCATTACGATGACAGGGACTAGTCGTTGAAGACGCTATTCGCTAATTTGCATACTGAGCGCCATAAAAAAAGTGATGCATGGACTCGCATGGCCTCCAGAACAGGCCGAGAGACGTTAGCGTTAATTACAGACAAGAAAAAATTAATGTTCCAACAAATTCTTCACAATTCAAATTTTAAGTATGTGTCTAAGGCAGCAGAGCAAGTTTAGCAAAATAAGTCAAGTTATAAGAACCGGATTTGTTTGAACCGGATAAATCCAGAACAGAGCAGTGAACCGGATAAATCAAGAACAGAGCAGTGAAACAGATAAATCAAGAGCAGTGTGCCGATCTGCACTGATCTAAAAATTATTTGCTAGGCAGTTTCAGAGCAAAAAGAAGGGTACTAACCGTGCTCCGCTTAAAATTAATAACCAAGAGGGAAGAGAATTCTATGAGAGCAGAGGGCAAGGGCTCGAAAAGACCACATGCAAGCATATGTCAATCACCTCAAGAAGCGTAGCGACATTGAAATGTTTAAAACAGCAGTTCTGAGAATTTCTGAGTTATGAGCATTTCTGCTTTTGATACAGTTTGTTCAATTTTCATTCAGCTACTCTCCAACACACACACCGTCACCTGTGAAGGGAAGGGGCGCTGCCCGCTCCTATGTAACTCCACCATTCAGCTACTCTCCAACACACACACCGTCACCTGTGAAGGGAAGGGGCGCTGCCCGCTCCTATGTAAGGCCGGAGGGTCGGTGGAGCTGCTAAGCGATGCCCCAGTCCCTGCCATCCTACCCAGCAATGGGTCGCGCTGGTCACTCTCGTCTTCCCGAACTCGGCTGCTGTCGACCACAACGGGAGTTATCATTCAGAATAAAGTTTGTTCATAATAGAGTAGTTCTTACAGCAAACAATTTATTACGTATTAGTGATGGCACGTTTCATTTTGGTGCCACAATGCAACGAGACATTGTGGTTGGTTGAGGAGCAAATAATGTATGAATATAGTTTAGAAGAGTTTTTAATTATTACTTTAACTAACAAATTTCACAAAGCAGTCAGTTGAAATTTCATTCTACATGGAAAATAAATTTCTGTACACTGATTGTTTCTTCTTCAACAGATCAAATAATTAAGCTTTATAAGAAAAATAGCAGGTTCTAAGTTTAAAAAGCTCCGCTATACGAAAGTAAGTGTTTTAAAATTGAAATGTATCGAACCTGAAATCCTCATCCTCTTCTTTATAAACTTGGCTGACCGAGCTGGTCGTACTCCCCCGGACTCCTGGTCGGCTGGCCCCTGCGACGACACTCTTCGCTTCATCCTTGGCGACGCATTCTGCCTCGGTACCGGCGACGACTTGAACGCTGTTGCAGCCGCCCTCTGACGGCAAAGCTTTCTTCTTGCTTGGCGAACTCGTCGGTGAAGGCGTAGACCGACCGCCTTGAGGATGACCAAATGGTGGTGACACGGACTTCACATCCTCCCCAGAACCGGGAAGTCTGTGGTCCTCTGGACTGTCTTCCTCAGTGGAATGCTTAGGTTCAGACTGCCCCAGGGAAGGTTCTCGGGAGTTTTCTTCCCCGGGTTGGTCCAATATGGGGTCCATCCGTGACGACCCTCCTGGAGTTGTAGGCTGTGAGCCGCTACTTCTTGGAGACCGAGCACCTCTTCTCTTGGACCCCATGCGGAAGGACTGTCTGAAAGACGCTCGGGCGCGATTGACTGAAACAAGTACAAAAATTATTGTGACTTATTATATAATACAAACACAATTACAAAAATCATAAAAACTAACGAAATGTAAGTAAGTCATAATGCTAGTTCATCATCTGGCCAATATATCTTTTTTTTAAATCTGCAGTGCGGAATAAAAAATATGATCTTTCAGTCAAATCGCACAGTCCGCGGAACTGTGACGATACCTACTCAATGTGTAATAAAAGCAGACACATGAGCAATAGAGCAATTACGATCAGAGCTATCGCAAAAATTCCAATTTTCAAATTGATTTTGTGGAGTCCAATAGTTTTTTATTAACACTAACAGTATGCAATAAAACAGTAGGAAATTTATCAATATATCAGTTTCTATTACATTCCACCGCAGCAAGGATCCATTTACAAAATAACCGCACTAATAAGTTTAATTTCCGGCGGTTTTTGAGTCCAGAGAGTCTCATTACCACGAAGTGGCATTACGTGACTCACACGAGCTATACACTCATTACTTTGCGTGCCTACGGTCGTGTCGCCTTATGACGACCCGTTCACTCGAGGTCAAGCTTGTTGTCTCGATAATTAAATGACGCACCTAATGTTATCCACACTTGAGAACAGGGAACATAAGATTGACAACAATTTTTCTGACACTGACATCAATACTAAATAAAATTCAACCTTCGTTTTGATTTTTACGTGAGGTAGCTGGTGCAGTAGCTAAATCCTTGTGAGGCATTTTTTAATCAACATCTAACCACTGATAATATTTTTAGATAACACAACGCACGTACGAAATAAATTCTACTTCACAATAAGCGATGTTGATTATACCAATTCAGCATGATTTTGTAATGAGATGGGATAAGGAGATGAGATGCGACATACGTAAATGCCTTGTTTCTATAATAACCATTCAGCCATCAAACAATAAATAAAACATTAAATCAAACATTAAATCAGCCATCAAACATTAAATCAAACACAAGTTTCAGAGAATTGGCCATATTCTACTTTGTCCCACAATATGTAGCCTGCATGCTAAGAAAAAAATCGCTCAAAATTTGCTTCTACATGACCAGAACAAAGTATTTTCAAGATTGGATTTCACTGAGATTGCACTCAAGCAAAAATGTTTCAACCTTCTCAAATTATCCGTTAGAATTTTTGTTTTCATTACACTGTTATCAGAATGCAAATATGAAATTATTTTGTAGATAATCAAGCACTATAAATTGTGCATATCGGACTCTGATTCATGAATAAATTGAAGATAATATAATTGATATGATGATTCACTGAAAATGTAATCGATACCTATCTTCAATAAAATTCTCGGTACATTTACAACTAGGATAACAAACTGATGACACAGCCATTATATAACTCAGGCCGACGTGTGCTCAGGATATTTCCATAAAATCAAGTCGAGCGCAATCAAAAACGCTTAAATCAGGACTCTAGCATTAATTTTAGCGGGAGCCATTCACATTATTTGCTACGCGCTCTCAGCCGACGATGCTAACGACGCGAGAGTTGATATGTTTTGAACTTAGACGGAAGATCATCAAACTATGCCACGAAGATCCGTCGCGTGGCTTAAAAGACGAATATCCGAGGAAGCTCTGCATCCGTTTGGGTATCGGAGGCCAAGGACACAGCTATAAGTCGCCTCAGTCATGAAGACATTGACAAAACGAAGCGATTACTACTCGAGAAAACGCTCGACTTCTTCCCACAGGAGCACAAAAAAATTAGATGGCCCGCCCACCCGTTGATAGAGTATGCTCGGAAACAGGTCTGGACTGTTCTTATTTTTCGTATTTTTTTTTTCTTTTTGTGAAAGAATATCTGGTTGGATAGTGGATGCAGTAAGCCACGTACGCCAGACTGACACGAATTTTGCACCAGAAAGCCTTGCCTGCACATTGCCTTTTGTCGATTTTTCAAGCTCCTCCGGCAGCTGAATTTGTTTCTTTCCTCGGTAAGACGGCAAAATAAAATAATAATACTAATAAGTCTCGAGAAACTAAGGAATTTTGGGAAACCTTAAAATCATTTACCCCCGTAAACAATTGATTATAGAACATAGAGGGAAACAATGGCGTAAACTTAGATTCATCAATTAGAACGGAAACAACTTCTCAAATACTATCGTTAAAAGAATCAAATAATTACTACGATACAAACTTGAATAGTTTACATAGTTTACTCAAATTTACAATTTTGTTTTTGGTGCTAACGAAAAATTCCTCTGCAGTTGGGCTCACCATTCCAAGATATTTTGGGAGCTTTTTTTCACGCCGTATTGTACTAAAGATGGCACGTGTAGGCCGAATTTTTCGAGGCAGCAAGCAAAAAGAAATGGCAAAGCTACTCGGATTATCTCCGGAGCTCATGAGGTCTTTCTGTATGCAGACCGCGGCGTAGAGAAAACCTTGCATTTTTTGGCGTTGATCCAAGTATTTTTTGAACCTCATTATGTCGTCAGTGGTTTACGATAAATTCAATAGTAAATTTTTAGAAATTGTCGAGAAATGTGACGAATCAATCCTTCTATTTATCGTGGTATGATTTTCATGAATAATAAATAGGTTTTTGAGATGTGGTGATAATCCAAAAATCTTTGGAATTAGAAAGCATTGTCATCATTCACTGAGCTTCTTATCATTCACAAATAAAAATAAAAAAACCTCGTCATTCACAAAAAAAAAAATAAAAATAGAATTCGTCCAAGGACCACTAAAAGTTTATGATAAAAACATGTCAAGCGCAGTAAGCTGTAAAAATTGAGATCGCGTTTAAATGCCAGAAATTCGTTTTCTAACAAAACCACTAAATCGAGCATCACAAGGATCACAAAGGGGATTGAAGTGAAGGCAGAAATTATGAGGGATTACACAGCAGTAAACAAGAGGCCAGTACTTAAAGTCCAGGATGAAACGATTTGTCGTGATGAATATCCTGTGACAAACGATTTGTCGTGATGAATATCCTGTGAAAAACGATTTTTCGTGATGAATATCCTGTGAAAAACGATCCTCAACAAAGCAGAAGGCTATTCATGGAGGCGCCACGGCTTTTGGTCGAACACATGTCTTGTACGAGTAAATAAATGATAGCACAAACAGACTTTGAATGAGAGATAAAAACAGCAATCGTGTTTACAATCTTACCGGGAAACATGTTATCCATCAAGTATAACAAAAGCTAAGGATCGAGCGGCAACAAAATTTTCCATTTGATTAGCGATGTGCCTTATTTAGCAAACATTTTGAAAGCTCAGGATAACTGCTCAAATTTAATTGTGGCATTTCGTCGATCTTGGAATGATAAAAATAGTAAGTCCGTGAATATGCCATCAAGAATGTTCAGTGTATAACAAGAGGTGGAGGAAAATCATCCAACTGGAAAGTATTTACATGCGAGGAAAAATGAAACTAAGCTGCTAGGAACTCCATATAAGATACAAAACAATAAAGTTAAGCAATTTTTCTAACAACAAGTTTACAATTCAACTAAAGATTTAAGCATACATAGCGACCAGCGTTTAAGCCTCATTTTAATGTGGGAAATGAAGGAGCGCACGCTATTGATTATTAGCGAGCTTGTTACGTTATTCCTGCATTGCGGAAATCTGCAGAATTGTGTAATGGACAAATAATTTAATGCATAGCAAAATACAGGATTGCTTTGATGCCGGAAAAGCCCAGCGATATCCAAACTGTAAAACAAAATTGGTGCTTTATATTGAAACAGCGAGACCTCGCCTTATTCTAATAGGTACTCTGACTAAGCTCGCTATTTTTGGAAGCAAATCAATTAGTTTCTGATTTTTACAAATAGCAAGTTTAACCATTAATTATCTATCAATTTATTTTATGAAAATAATTAATGAGAACAAATTATTGTAAAAACGAAACCGTTGAAAATTATTTTCTCACCGGGAAAATAATTGGCAAAAGTTTTAATTGTGCTGAACGGAGTCAGTGGAAAGAAAATTTTTAATAACATTCTTAACACATACTCATACAGATTTCAGCAAGATATTTGATAAATAACAACAATAACAGTTTATAGGAAGGATTGACCAGCTCATGGGAAATTAAGCTACGACTTTTTATGATTAAGACAAACAAGACAAGCAATCATCTCCAGGAAACAATTTAATGGATGCGGTTATTGTTAAATGTATTCAGTCTGAGCATTAAAAAATCCTACAACTCGTGTACTATCAAGTCCCAGATTCGCATACAACTCTATAGTACTAAAGAAGTGTCTTACACGCTCCGATTTATATTAATCCCCAAATGATTAACCGCATTGATTTACTCAAAATAAATATGACACAAAAATCAATGCGCTACAGTTAGTCTCTTAAAAGGAAAAAAACTAGAGAAAATCTTCTATCCCTTCACATTAATGACCACTTAGAAGAGAAAGCAGAAAAATTAAAACAACAAAGAGAAAGTAAAATTATGTTCAGGGTGAGTCCGGCTTTGTAAATTAATGAACTGAGCTGAATAAATGAAGCAAATTAGGAATTCAAGCAAGAGGAGACAAAAGCATCATGAATAAACCTTGAGCAAGTCAAGCTCAGAGTGGACATAAAGTGGCAAGTATTTTGTAGATTTCATTGTCCGCGATTAACATATTACGAGTTTTTTTTTCGTGAGCATTGCGCCAAAACTGTTAGAGAAGGAAATCCAGCTTTTGCTTCATGTAAAAGATCTTTTCACCCGTTTTATTTATTCCTTTTATTCTATAGTGTTTCATTATTCTCGATTTATATTCATATATAACTGATCCTTTTAATTACTCAACATTAGGTCATCGCCTTGCCGTTTGAAACATGCGAATAACCGTTTTTTTAGTTGCACGATTAATGGCAGAGTTAGCAATTTATCTTCATTAAGCACAATTAAGTACATCAGCCTCGAGCGGAGTCTCCGAGACTAAGCTCGTCTGGACAAGAGATAAGTTCAGCTATAAAACTGGCGAGTAAAACCTACTCTGCTTCGTTTAGCGCGTGTCCTAATATAGAAATTTCTCTGAACTGTCTCAACAAGTAGAAATGAACTGTAATGATTATCTTATCAGTATATTACAACTTTAATGATTAAATAGTCAATGAATTTGGCAGGCGTTATAACAACTTGAATTCAATGTTAACTAGCTGAAAATCAAGGGCAGTTTTTTGCATGTGGCAAAGGCGCGACAGGCACTCGAGAGAGCACTCAATTCATGAGGCCGGTTCAACGAAAGTACTGTCAGTTCGTTCCATAAATAAACATGATCGTCAAATGGTCGTGAATTTACATACGTTCATGTGAAACGATAAAGAGAAAATAAAAAATTGAAGTATTAGAGTACCATAAAACCATGAAAATAATCATAAAAATGGAAGCGAGTGAATTACGTGCATTACCAAAAAAATGGAGGAATAAATAAAAAAATTGACGTAATCCACTCATCGGTAAACCATTTAGCGAGCTGATTTGTCGCTCTACAGTAAATCTATTACAAACGTGAGCAAAGTTAGAATGTGTGAGCTAGCCAAAATAATATATCATTGGTATGTATTAAATATTTGGTATTAATTGGTGTTATTGGTATTATTGGTTGGTATCATTAATATATCATATGGTATGTATTTAATAGTACCTTGTAATAAGTTTATATAATTCTATTATATAATGGTATGTATTAAAAAGTACATAATAATAATTTCATTCACTCACATTTAGACTGAATGCTGTCCGAGAGGCCATCATCAACAGCGGTGAGGGCGGGTGAAGTCAAGTCATCAAAATTGACGATGAAGACGCAGCTGTCGCCGCCCTCGCTCTTGATGGGACAGACCGTCGTCAGGCACAGGAACTTGCTGCCTGAAACATCATCATGTCATAAGAATAATTACATTAATACAAATGAATTCAGGTATACTAAAATATTTTACATTATTTGCATAATTATTTATACCGTCGTCAGGGACAAGAAGTTGCTGCCTGAAACATCATCAAGTTATGAGCATTATTGCATTAATACAAATGAGTGCAGGTATATAAAAACTTTTACATTTTACACATTATCTTTTACCGTTGTCAGGCGGAGGAAATTGCTGCCTGATATGGCACCATGTTATCAGCATAATTGCATTAATACAAATGAATGCGGGTATATATAAATATTTTACATCTTTTTCAGCACTACTTATACCGTAGTCAGGGACAAAAACTTGCTGCCTGAGACGTCATCATGTCGTTGGAATAATTGCATTAATACAAATGAACGCGGGTATATTAAAATAATGTAAGATTACATCATCACATGTAAAAACCATAATTAAAATGAGCTAATGATTATTCATTCATAGTTGGTGAGTGAATTTTATCAGAATTCAAAACAAAACAAAAAAAGTTGAAATTATTTTCACATAGTGAGCGTTGTGATTTAAGGATAGTAATTGCAATGGAATATTAAATTGCGTAAAGCAACAAATAAAATCATGAAATTGTTCGAAACGTGTATCTATCCGACTGTGTCATGATAAAGTAACGATACTAAACTTTCAGTATTTATCTTAGCCTTAACGAAGTCTTTCATCAATGACACTTATTAGACCTATAGACTGACAGGCACGTTATACCGTGCATCACAATAATGCGGTACCGTGCATCACAATAATGCGGTACCATGCGTCACAATAATGCAGTACCGTGCGTCACAATATAATGCTGTACCGTGCATCACAATAATGCGGTACCGTGCATCACAATAATGCGGTACCGTGCTAGTCATCAAAATTGACGATGAAGACGCAGCTGTCGCCGCCCTCGCTCTTGATGGGACAGACCGTCGTCAGGCACAGGAACTTGCTGCCTGAAACAGCATCAAGTTATGAGCATTATTGCATTAATACATATGAATGCAGGTATATTAAAATAATTTATAGCTTTTACATCATTACTAATATCGTCGTCAGGCACAGGAACTTGTTGCCTGAAACATCTTCATGTCATCAGCATGATTGTCATCATCGGCAACAGGCCATGGGCCTATTTCCTCAGTGCCGACACTTCTATTCTATTCTATAATTGCATTAATACATATGAATGCTGGTATATTAAAAACTTTTACATTTTTTGCATCATTATTCATACCGTCGTCAGGGACAATAACTTGCAGTAATATTGCAGGGACAATAAGGTGGCGCATCAGCGTGACCTTGGACTACGACGTCCTAAACTCATCATAAGGTATATAAGGTCTTGCTGCCTGAAACACTACCAATTCGTCATCTCAATAATGAAACTGAGTGCATGTATATTAAAATTTACGATTACATCACCACATGTAACAACCATAATTAAAATGAGTTAATGATTATTTTCATAGTTTGTGTGTGAATTATATTAGAATTAAAAACAAAAAAAAATTTAAATTATTTTCACACAGTGATCGTGGAGAGTTAGGGTTAGTCATTTCTATGGAATATTAAATTGCGTAAAGTAACAAATAAAAACATGAAACTGTTCGAAAAGTGTATCTATGCGACTGTGTCTGGATAAAGTAACGATACTAAACTTTCAGTATTTCACTAACGAAGGCTTTTATCAACGACACTTATCAGACCTATAGTCTGACAGGCACGTTATACCGTGCACCACAATAATGCGGTACCGTGCGTCTCAATAATGCGGTACCGTGCGACACAATAATGCGGTACCGTGTGTCACAATAATGCGGTACCGTGCGTCACAATAATGCGGTACCGTGCATCACAATAATGCGGTACCGTGCGTCACAATAATGCGGTTCTGTGCGTCACAATAATGCGGTACCGTGCGTCACTAATAATTCGGTACCGTGCGTCACAATAATGCGGTACCGTGCGTCACAATAATTCGGTACCGTGTGACAGTTAAATTAATGGATGGCTGCACGCAAACAATGGAAGACGGGAGCGAGCAGTCGTTCAATAACCTCTCGCTAGAACACTTATGAGTTGCCTTAAGTGCTAAACTAAAGGCAGGTAAACTTTCCCATTCGCAAAATAGGTACGAAGTAGATCATATCGGCTGTACGATGAGAAAGAGTATAAGAAAATAGATATAACAAACTAATAAATGACCATCTCACAAAGTCCGAGAGATCAGAATATCTATTATTTCTAAATAAAGATGCATATTCTAAGTATTAAATTGATTAAAATTGCTTTGATTTTGCCTAAAAAGTCAAACTACCTCATAAAATTTTATACATTTATTCACTCTCATTTGGAAAATCGATTTCTAAAATAACCAAAAATTAGCCGGACTACACATAGTTCGGACGCTAGATTAATTCATATATTTCAATAACAAGGAATATCACTTTATTTACAGGTATACACGTCTTGTTGTACCTAGTGATCTTGTCACGCACGACCTCGAGCACTAAACGTTACTTGCACGAGCGACCACGACACATAAACCTCGACCGCAGCACGGCAGGGGCGGACAGAATATCCTGCACTGCAGAGGCTCCACTCACGACTTCTTTACCGTCATCGAGTATTTACAGTGATAATAAACTCGAGTAGATTTAAAGAACAGTGTGAAAAATTCTGTCTTAATTCGCTTTATATCAGGAATACTTTAAGTATTAATCGAAGCTGAAGAATATTTAGAAGTTACTGAGCTGTCATAAGGGGATCGGTGAGGAGCTCGAGTTGAATTAAAGAATAGAGTAAAAAATTCTGTTTTAATTGCCTGTATATCAAGAATATTTTGAGTATGAATCGAAGCAGAAGAATATTTAGAAGTTGCTGAGCTGCCATAAGGATATCGGTGAGGAACTCGAGTTGAATTAAAGAATAGAGTGAACATTTCTGTTTTTGTTCGCTGCATATCAAGAATACTCTGAGTATGAATCGATGCAGATGAATATTTAGAAATTACTGCACACGCTGCCATAAGGGGACCGGTGAGGAACTCGAGTAGATTTAAAAAAATAGAGTGAAAAATTCTGTTTTAATTGCCTGTATATCAAGAATATTTTGAGTATGAATCGAAGCAGAAGAATATTTAGAAGTTGCTGAGCTGCCATAAGGATACCGGTGAGGAACTCAAGTTGAATTAAAAAATAGAGTGAAAACCCTGTCTTAATTCGCTGTATATCAAGAATACTTTGAGTATGAATCGAATAAGAAGAATATTTAGAAGTTACTGAGCTGCCATAAGGGATCGGTGAGGATCAAGCGCTGCGCATCCGGCGAGTCACGCACCGCGGCATCGAATTATTTTTACGACAACGTAATAGCAGCGGCTTAGACGTGCACCAGCTGTGCTTCTGTGCACCAGCTGTGCTCCTGTGTACCAGCTGTGCTCCTGTGTACCAGCTGTGCTTCTGTGTACCAGCTGTGCTCCACTGCACCAGCTGTGCTCCACTGCACCAGCTGTGCTCCACTGCACCAGCTGTGCTCCACTGCACCAGCTGTGCTCCACTGCACCATTGGCAGCATCGAACTAAAGTGACGCCGCAAGTAAGCACGTACGAATAAAATGCTTGCCAGCCCAGGATGTAAAGCACCCCGGCGACCTCATCACTCTGTGACTCCATGTGACTCCATCATGACTCCATGGCACGGATGGAGCTTTGCTTCAATACAATAGAATAACATGTGAGTGAAACCAATTGAATTGTAGAGGTTTCAATAGAACTTATTTTAGGACATGAATGATTATATTATTGCTGAGTCATTAAGGCCATTGATCGTGAGGCCTGCCTTTCATAAAGTTTAATCAAGCAAGAACCTGTGCAGTGCAAGATGAAAAGCCAAATTTTATTAATATGCAATCAAGTTTTTTTCGTGAATGAGTTGGTTTTAATTAAGTGTAATTTATTGCTCCTAATAAACCTACGACACCAACAACAGACACGCTTCACAAACCTCATACAGGCTCTCGTAACTGTGTTATTAAAGCGTTGATGGCTGATGCATTGATATTAGTACTTAGAACGGCCCAAGTACTATAGCCTTATCATGCATTTACTTATAATGGTAGGTGATTAAAACAAGTTGGAACCTAATCTATTATATTGGGGTTATCCGAGCATCTTTCCACAAAACTTATCATATCAAGAATATTGACGACCAGACATTTCATCTATAGTGACGGAATTACGAGTTGGAAGAAAATCAAAGTCTAATGTAAAATTTTAAATGAGAATGTGGAAAGTAAATATAGGAATTGTAAATTAAATATTTGAGTTTGCTACAAAATTTGAAATTATATTCGATTAGTAGTTCCATGTTAATAGTGTTTGAAACTGGTATTGCCAAACGTAAAATTTCTTTAAATTGAAAATTAGTAACATGATTTGGAAAAGGGATTAGGCAACGCGAGCATCATAATATAAACTATAGAATGTGACAAATATAAACTTTAAATATAATATTATTTTTTCATGATCACTTTAAATGCATTCGGGCTAAACTACAGAGGAAATTAAATTTGTGATTGCGATACAAGCAACTAGATTAACTAACTTGAAGTTTTATCTCTTTCTACATTCGAATAAAATGCCCTACAGCATGAATATTCTTAACCAGGTCTGCGCAGATAAATTAAATAAGTTATTGTTAGTTCTCGCTCTTTACCGATTGACAAGTAAAAATGTAATGATTAAATCCCACATTAAATCCCATCAGCATTTAATTGCTGCTCAATCAAAGCCACGAATGTTGAACTTTTGACTAAGCACCGAAAAAATATGCACCCTTGACCCAGCTGCTAGGCAAAAGGGCGGCGCATCAGAGAGTAACTATTGGAACTATATTTTTGGGGTAGTCGGAACACTTTAACTCGGCCTACACGATCGCATATGTTCTGATCACTGACAGCCTTCACCTAAAATCACTTTATTGCACAAATTCTTCGAGAGTATAAGCAATTCACGTGCTGGTCAAAACAGATATTTCTTGCTGCACAATCGAAGTGGGAGACCAAATCTCGAGGCTATCCAAAGTAAACAAAATAGCTAATAATTAGGCTTCTGACCCGGTAACTGCAGTACCTAATAAATATCTTAATGAAATAATGATTACACATCAATTATTTATATCAACTCCCAATTCACAAATCCTAATTTAATTTAAATTGATTG